CAGAGCAGGGCATGGGAACAGGGTTGGAATCACAACACACAGGGAGTAGCTGAAATCCATCTGAAACCATGTTTAGTTCCTGTAAAGGAATATACCCAACCTCAGTTTCTGCAGAGATGCAGATTTCAGTGATGCTCTCACCTCTTTTGTTGGCTTCAGGTCCCCTTAGCCCATCAATGAACGGATTTTTCACTGTTCAGAACACATGAGACTTTGTAAAGGTTTTTACTATTCACACAGCTTTGCAATTAGAATTGCAGCCCCTGATGACAATTAGAACATCCTTCTCTGCAAGGTTAAAGAGAAGTCAGGAGGACCCAATTCTTGACTACAGAGCAATAGTGTTATGCATTAAGATATGTGATGCAGTGAGTGGATTGGATGTTTCACCTGGGCAGAGCTCAGACGTTTGGGATGAAATTCAAAGGGAAAAGGAATTGTGCTGTGGAATACAGCAAAGTCTAAATGACAACCGTTTGAGCACTGGATCCACTCGAGTGGGGAGCATTGAGCAGCCTCTGAACATTGCTTGAAAAGAGTAAACCATCATTATACAACAGAGCTTGCACTACTGTTGTTACTGTTTGTTAAGAAACAAGGAGAGATTTTTAAGGCATGGATAATTCTTTTCTCTGAACTATAAATCAGAAAGAAATGAACAACTGTGGGCTTTGGCAGTGTCTTCCCCCCCCTTGTTGTCTTTGTTTTTCACTGTTTGTCCATGGTGTTCCTCTGATACTCATAGAAATGGATAGACTCTTCCCATCACCAAAGCCATATCTCTGCCATGGCAAGAGATTACAACCTGTTCAAACATATTTCAGATCCCTTCTGAAGACATTACCTATTGTTACCACAAAGATCTGGTTAGGAAGGAGTTCTGGAGCCTGAGTAACTCTTTTTTCCACACTGTTGGTGAAAGAAAGGAATTTCCTTTACTTCAGATCTGAAACCATTAGCTGTGTGGGAAAAAGATTCTGCTGTAGGCCTCTTAGGTTTTAGACTGCTTCTTGGGCTTTGGACTGCTTCTTCTAGGCATTTTCTTGCAACTATCTGAAACAGTAGAGACAAAGCCAGTTTATATTTAAAACTGGGCTTGCATTCATTAAAGCATCACTTTGGGACTAGACTATTCCACTTTAGGAGTCCCGGAATAGTGTTATGCCTGTTTTGCTAACTCCCAGCAGTGTAAAAGTAAAAAGCAGCTCCACAAAAGGCTTGAATTAGGTTAACAATGGACCTTTTCTGTGTATGTATAGACACTGGGAGATCAAAGATGTATAGGGAAATCTGGGCAGTAACCCAGTCTTTACCAGAGAGACTTACAAGCCATTAGACAGCAGCTTCTGCTTGGGCCATACAAGAACTGCTGAAGTGCACACCAGGGCTGTTTCCCAATTCGGGAAACAAGCAATTCTGCTGTGTTGAAATCCACTGTTCTAGCAGAATTGAACGGTACCCACAACAGAAGGTTTGGCTTTCTGTCATAAAGGAGAAACTGGAAACAGGAAACAGGTCTTTCACCACTCATGGCTAAGACCTGAAGAACCCACGTTTCGTACTAACTAGTGTAACTGCAGAATTCCCTCCCACAAGAAGCGAGAACTGGTCTTGTTCTTTACCTTTCCATGTATTATGTGTCAAACACCTCTCTTATCTTAGCCTTAGAGGGCAGCATGGCAATATTTCAGGACACATGAGAGAGTAATAGGGTTATGTTTTCCAATTTGAAGGGCAAGGTGTGAGTTCTTGCTTTCTACACGGTGGTTCTCTGAGATCTGAAGTACATGATCTCAGAAGTAACCAGCTTCACCCATGTTGCTCGTCTGATCTTCTTTTAGCTAACAATGAGACCCCAGCTCTGGGGCAACAACACAAGAGGGATGTGGAGCTGTTGGAGCAAATCCAGAGGAGGCCATGGAGATGCTGCGAGGGCTGGAGCAGCTCTGCTCTGGAGCCAGGCTGAGAGAGCTGGGCTGGGGCAGCCTGCACAAGAGAAGGCTCCTGGAGGGGAGACCTTAGAGCAGCTCCAGTGCCTAAAGGGGCTGCAGGGAACCTGGAGAGGGGCTTGGGACAAGGGCCTGTAGGGCCAGGCCAAGGGGAATGGCTTGAACCTGCCCGAGGGGAGACTGAGCTGAGCTCTTAGGCAGAAGCTCTTCCCTGTGAGGGTGCTGAGGCGCTGGCACAGGGTGCCCAGAGAAGCTGTGGCTGCCCCATCCCTGGCAGTGCTCAAGGACACAGGGGCTTGGAGCAAGCTGCTCCAGTGGAAGGTGTCCCTGCCTGTGACAGGGGTTGGAACTGGATGAGCTTGAAGGTCCCTTCCAACACAAACCATTCCATGATTCTATAACAAGGTCTGTGGACCCTAGGGTATGAACATGTCCATTCTAAGAGATGAAAACTGCCCAAGAAGTGCTTTTTCCTTTGACCATGAAGGGTGTTTATACTGGTGAGATCAGATGGACTCACTTTGGGTGCAGATTTGGTAGAGATAAATCAATCTGCTTATCCACATTTGGAATAACCTGGGTCAGGCTGTTGGTGCAGCTTACAGCTAGAATCACACTCAGCTATTTGAACAGAGTATGTTTCATGTCTTCCTGTCATCACATTAATATATAATGGCATAGCATTCAATAGATATAACACAAGACAATACATTATCAACAACCAGCGGCATGAAACAATAAGTATCACAAAGTATCTACAAAATATAAGCCCTCTGATCATGAAGATCCATTTTATTGGTAATACTGAAAATAAATGCCGAAACACTGAAACCTTCTAAACAGTTTCACTCACGTGCGATCCTAACTTTCAAAGAAACAAATCCAGTAAAAGCATTTTCTCCCTCTTGGACATGCTATTGCTGTGCTTAGCCATCAGATGGCAGAGGTGCATATACACAGCGTAACTGCGTGCACTGATGCTGATGCTCACAGGTAAGTTGAAGACCGTGGAGATGGTGATTGTGGGATTTTCTTTAGATGTAAAAGGCTGTGACAAAGCCATAATTCTCTCACACAAGCGAGTTATTAAAATCATACAAGGGATGATACATAGAGGAAGAAGTGACACAATCCAGCACTCTATGTGGGGAGATAATAACAGTGCTTGGGAAAAAGACTGAAGAAGAAAGGATCTTCTGCGATGTGTTTTTAACAACTGACATTCCCACCTTGCAGTAATGAGGTTTCTGTGCTCCTTCAGCAAACTTTATCCTTTAGGACAGTAGCAAATCCATCAGTTCAGTGGCTGCCATCAGTAGAACACTGTAGGTTTCCTTGTGCTAGACTAATCCAGGATTGGATTCATCCCACCTTATTTAAGGCATCCCACTGCAACACCTCATTCTGGAGCCTGGGTGGGTCAAGGTCTCTTGATAGAGAAAAAGATGGCATTAAAGGGAAGAAAATAGAGAGGATGAGTGTGAAAAGTTGGTGCCATCTGCCCGTAAGCGTGTACAAGTGTTGCCTGAGACCTATACACCCAAGCTCATTCCGAACTCAGTGGAGAGGATTTATCTCTCTGAGGTTAAGCTATTTAAGTATTAGGTGGCTTGATCCAATCTGGTTGTCTTGGCTCCCTTTATAATAAAGGAAAGAAACAAGCCCTCTCAGAAGCTGAACAATCACATCACTCTTAGAAACTCACCTTAGGGGTCATAAATTGTCCTCTGCATCTGCTTGTATACAAGATTTCACTACAGAGGGAGCTGAACACCCAGTTACTGGTGGGTGAGATATTCACATCCCATATCTCCACTGTCCTTGCTTGTGCTGCAGCACTGATTCGAGATACTTGATCTGCCCAGGGCACAGGGAAAGACCTGGAAACACTGTATGGAAAGAGCTGAGTGGAAACAGCCCCCATATCTGTATGTCCATATCTGTCCATCTTCTGTATGGAAGAAATACCTGCATCATCTGCATCTGCAGTATCTAATTCCAATTTAAGACTCAGACAATGATATTTCTTTTTAATGGTGAATTCCTACTTCTTCCTTTGTATGAGAGAAAAGTCGAAATACTGAAATGTCCTTTGGGTCGCTTGGGTACATTTCAATTGAGATAAAGAAAAATGGATGAGGCCACGGAGCTGCTGCAAGGGCTTGGAGGAGCTCTGCTCTGGAGCCAGGCTGAGAGAGCTGGGCTGGGGCAGCCTGGACAAGAGAAGGCTCCTGAAGGGGAGACCTTAGAGCAGCTCCAGTGCCTAAAGGGGCTGCAGGGAACCTGGAGAGGGGCTTGGGACAAGGGCCTGTAGGGACAGGCCAAGGGGAATGGCTTGAACCTGCCCGAGGGGAGACTGAGCTGAGCTCTTAGGCAGAAGCTCTTCCCTGTGAGGGTGCTGAGGCGCTGGCACAGGGTGCCCAGAGAAGCTGTGGCTGCCCCATCCCTGGCAGTGCTCAAGGACACAGGGGCTTGGAGCAAGCTGCTCCAGTGGAAGGGGTCCCTGCCCGTGGCAGGGGTTGGAGCTGGATGAGCTTGAAGGTCTCTTCCAGTACAAACCATCCTGATATTCTATGAGTTCAGTAAAGAAAAGTTTCTGTTAGGCATTTCAGAATGTATGCTTCAGAAATCATACACAATCATATCATGTTTAATAACACCCTACTTTAAATCAGACAAAACTAGACAGGAGAACAGGCCTGAACCATGTTTTATCTCACTGAGGCAAATGCTTCAATGTTGTAAGATACAAACTCTTCAAACTTATCTGGCATTTTGAACTTCTCCCTGTAATAATGGATAATAGTGGAAGAACTATAATGGATTAAAGTCAAACTATGCCAGCTAGGTAAAAATATTTATGGCAAAAATAACTTTTTCCATAAAGACTATATGACTCTGAAGCCTGTAAACCAAACCCTCAAGACAGTGTAAGCACAGTTATGGGCAGCAGGTGGAAAAGCATTCAGTTGTTGTAAATCAGTGCAAGTCTCTTCAGAGCGTCATGTCTGGTTGTTCAGCTGTTGTTAATTTGTTTTGCTTCATTTGTTCAGCAGGTATAAATCAGGGGCATCAACAGATGAGGGCTTCTAGAAGCTGCTGATGTAAGCTCACAGTTGAGGTAACCGTGTCTATAGGAAAAGGTCAGAGCTTCTGCTAGCAGAGATTTATGGCTAGAGGGTAAGTGAGCAATGTCCAGGCCCTTGGCAAAGTATCTCAAGGCTTGGGGGGTGTCCATTGTAGCCTAGAAATGTTGCTGCAGCTGCTTGCATGCAGCAACTGCAACTGGCAGGGGCTCTTTGATCAGCTAAAGGACCAATTTTCCCCTTTTTGATGACTCTATGTAACTAAACGCCAGATCATTCCTATCATTGAGTTTCTCAGGAAGTCTGTGAGGTTTTGGCAGCTTGTTTTAGCTTAAAACTGTTGCTTAGGATCAGCAGATGTTGAACTGGGTTGACTGGCCCTGTTCTTGTAGGAAATAGAAGGGAACTACCAAGGTGAGCAGCAGGATCAGAGGAGACAGAGTCCTTTGCCTGGGGAGCCAGAAAGGATATAATCAGCCATCTTCACTGTTTCTGTTATTTAGTGCTATTCATGAACCTAATCATAACTCCAGGCTTTAGATTTTTATGGCATATTTAATTAATTTAAGCTGTGTTTAATTAATTTTAAGCTCTTCTGCTTTTTGTGTCAGCTCCTATTACCTGTATCCTCATGATGAAACTGGCCTGCAGAGTGCCCATTGGCCTCCCCAAAGACATAGGAAAGTGGCATATCCACTCTAAATAATTTCTCAGTGTTACTATTGCTTTGTGCTGAGTTTGCCACCTGACGCTGCAGGAGAAGCAGTAAATCCAAGAATGTTGTCTTTTAAAGAGGAAGAACTGTGGGAAATGCAAAAGGGGGCAATGGTGACATTTGAGTGGTTGATCTATAAATAATTCTGCATTTCTTTGCCAAGCTCATCTGTAAGGTCACAAAATTTATCATCTGAGAGTAACTGGGAATGTAGTTATCTACCAGGAATGGCTTGTGGGAGAGATCTATCCCTGTCTGTGTGGGGGTAAGGGCAGACTGGAATAGCAGAGGTCATTGTGCTGTGAGGCTGAGGTGACTCAGTTGGGCTTTGGAGAGAAACCAGAGTTGTGGTCAGTGGTGGTGAATCCAGGAGCAGACCCACCCCTCTGTGTGAATTAAGGACATGAGCTTTAAGGTCCCTTCCAACCCAAACCAGCATGTGAGTCTATGGTTTTGGAGCAGTTCATGTCCAAGTTGAGTGACTTTTCTCCTTGCCAGTGTTTCAGTCTTTGTTTTAGTTTGGATCTCTGAGACCCCTGAGGAAATTCAAGACTGTCTTGTCTCTGTCCTGCTCCATGGCAGGAGGCTATGGAGCAAAATCCATGGCTCTTAAAACTAGAAAGGACCTTGCTGCTTGTCTGTACAAGTTGTGTGGCCTGGAATCCCATGGGATTTACACTCACACCTCAATCACTGTATTGTGAAAGTGTTCCTCATATGAGGGGATCCATTTCACAGTGTCAGTGATGCACATTTTTGCTCAACACAGGATTTGTCAATCACCATTTTTCTCTCAACATTATGCTGGGTCCCATTAAAAATCATAGAACAGTTTGGGTTGGAAAGGACCTTAAGATCATCCAGTTCCAAACCCCTGCTATGGGCAGGGATGCCTCACACTAGAACATGTTGCCCGAGTCTCTGTCCATCCTGGCCTTGAACACTGCCAGGGATGGAGCATTTATCACTTCCAAAGAAGAAACATTTGTGCCGGGAGACAGAAGGGAAACTGTGCAAAACAGGAACACCAGGCTGATAACTGTTAGTAAATGCCTAAATTTGTCTGATGATCAAGTCCCCATCAGAATCAGTGCTGGCTTTCATGTGTTTCTTTATTTGTAATCACAAAACTCTAATTTCCTACTTCAAGTTCTGCATGTTCTCTAAAGGACTCTTCCTCTAAAGGAGGATGTGGAACTTCATAGCTCAATGTGAGCTATTTTCTTTGCTCTGTAAGGAAACACCGTGCAGATCATTGCAATTACTGATCTGAAATCATCACTTGGATTTTGAAGCCAAACACAAGCTCCATATGGTTTGGGGAAACCTGTGTCTCAAGACAAGCAATTTAATCTAATCGATTTTTCTCTCCAGGAAACAGCTTGGGATGGTTTTAATAAGGCCTCAGAAGATGCTGTTTAAAAAGTTAGTGCCTGACAAACTGCAAGGGTGCAACTTGGCAGGTGAGTTTGTAAGTTTGTAAATTGGTTTCTCTGCGCATCATTAAAATCTCAGGTTCTTTCTCTCCTGGAAATTAGCAGCTCTGTGAGTTTATGCTCAGCTTTGATTATTGCCTTAATCTAAAGGACAGTGGAAAAACTGCCTCAAAGGACAAAAAGTCATAGAATCATAGAATGGTTTGGGTTGGAAAGGACCTTAAGATCATTCAGTTCCAACCCCCTGCCATGGGCAGGGACACCTCACACTAGACCAGGTTGTTCCAAGGCCTTGAACCTTAAATATATCCATTTGTTGAAGCATTAGATACAAGGCATTCCTTGATACTGTTTAGACCCTTGACTGCAACACAAAATATCCCAGCTCTTATTGTAGTAAATGATGCCATGGTCAAATCAAGCCCTTTGAAAACTGGCTTAATCTCTACAATGCTTTTGTTAAATCCCCAGAAACTGAGGAGATCCTGGTCGAATCACTTTTATTTGAAGGCTATGGATAAAGCAGAGCAATCTGCATTGCACTGTTGAAGGGCAGCTTTAAAACTGCTTGAATTGGGCTGGCTTCAATCATAGAGTCATGGGTTTAGGTTGGAAGGGACATTAAAGCTCATTTAGTTCCAACCTGCTGCCATGGGCAGGAACATCCTTCAGCTATCTCTTTTGTGGTGTGACACATTATCTGGTCTTCACAATAAAAGCTAAACCTGGAGATGGTTCTTGATAAAGCTAAGGCTAATCCAGATCTGTCCCAGGGCTCCTGCTCTAAGACCTCTTCTGGCTGCTGCTTCTTGCCAGAACCTATAGGGCAAATAGGGGACAAAGTTCTGACTAAATCCCAAATTTAACCTTTAGAAGAGAAGACATTGTCAGGGAAGGTGACAGTGAGTATGGAGCCCATCTGCTGTGTGAGATTATCACCTTGTTAAGCATGAAGACAGCAGAATTACATCAAATAATCCCCATGTCTGAAACACAAATGAGAAACACATTAGAGAAAAAGGAGCTTTATCAGCAGCCAAGTCTGTAATGGGTCTGTGTTCATGATAAGCATTCCAAGCTGGAAAGCTCAAGACTCAAGAAGGCTCTATCTCATAACTGGCCAAAATCAAATCGCTTTGGTTGTGCTGTGTATGGTCCTGGCATGGCAGAAGGGATGGGCAGCACCAGCTCCTACGATGTCTCTGAGTTCAGAGAGTTTGTTTTGCTTCATCCAGCTCCAACCCCTGCCACGGGCAGGGACCCCTTCCACTGGAGCAGCTTGCTCCAAGCCCCTGTGTCCTTGAGCACTGCCAGGGCTGGGGCAGCCACAGCTTCTCTGGGCACCCTGTGCCAGCGCCTCAGCACCCTCACAGGGAAGAGCTTCTGCCTAAGAGCTCAGCTCAGTCTCCCCTTTGGCAGCAGAGGGCCAGGATTCCCCCCAGAGCAGCTGCTCACTCTCTGGGTGTGCAGCCCAGCACACACTGAAGCCAGGTCATGGGGAATTTCTCATCGAACGATACCCCCAAGTCCTTCTCCTCAGGGCCTCCCTCAATCCAGTTTCTGCCCAGCCTTGTTTGTGCTTGGGACTGGGATAATTCAGCTTTAGCCTAGCATAATTCCTGGCATTCTGCTAAACTACTAATTTCTAGCCACCAGCATGATGCACAGGCAGTAGCTATTTTACCAGAATGCAACTTCTAACGTGTGGCAGCATGTTAAAATATGGTCAAGGAGAGGTTCACATCATAAATCTTAAATAATTCTTATGGTCTTAAATGATTCTTTAAACGATTGAATGATGCAATCCCCTGTGGCAGGGGATTGGGACTAGATGAGCTTTGAGATCCCAAGCCCTTCTATGATTATCAACACTGGGCTTTAGACATAGGGTCTCAGATTAAAAATACTGAAAACAAATAATAGTAGCTCGCTTTTTGTGGCCTGTATATGCACATTATCTCTTGACTCTTGGCGCAGCGCTGTGCTCTGTAGCCTTACACCACGTAGAGATTTTGCATGAGCTATTGCCCTCTTGTGGCTGTTCAACGAAAAGACGGGTAGCTGTCAGGGGAAGTGGCATGAAACCAGTTCCAGAAGTTGGAAGGGCATAGTCCTAGCTCCTCTCCCAGCTGTGATGAGATTGATCTACTTACTGTATCTCTTTCTGGCATCTGGGTTTATTACAGAATGATTAGCTCCATTCTTTGTTCCAAAACTTCAGAGGTCTGATGGGCCTAGGGCTAACAGTACATAAAGATCTGGACCACATGGATTTATTCCAGCCACAGGTCTATACAACCATAGCAGGAAAAGCCTCTGATTTATGACTCTTTGAAAACTCCAGTTTATCTTCTGACATATGCAGAAGTCTTTATTTTGGAAGAGAGGCACACTGCAAACATGACAAATGGGCTTTAAGAATGATAGACAGTATCATTCATGTTGACAATGCAGGAGCTATGGGCAGATAATACTGGGATATGAGCAGTACATCAGATGGAAAGTGATGCTCAAATAAATGAATGCATAATGCATGGATGCTTCCTGGAACCAGAGGGGGATTTATTAGCTCTTCAAGGTACTGCTGATAACTTACGCTTCTTATGCCAGGGTAAATATCTGCTTCAAGTAGTGCATGGATTTCACAAGTAGCTTATCTTCTGTTGTTTCTGTAGAGGGTAAACAAAATTAAAAGGTTTCTCCCCTGAAGAAGTAGAGATTTCCCAAAAACCAACATGGAAAGCACTTACACAGGCACATGCTGGTGTGCTGGCTGCCCTTGTAATACCAGCACAACTGCTCCACAGCAGTCACTCAGGTTCTGCTCTTCATTCACCCTGCAAAGACACCGTTACCACTGTCCTTCTCTGAGGTATATGCCTTTGCAAAGGAGCTGTTGCCCAGTTTATTGTGATCCAATATGTGTAAGCAATAGACTTCAGGCTCCAAAGCAAGACAAATCAGTCTGAAAACAGTTTGTGATCAAGTAGCTTTAAGGCTGTAGTTTAAAGTAATCAGAATGCTAGACTCTTGTGAGATCATAGAATCATAGAATAGCTAGGGTTGGAAAAGACCTTAAGATCATCCAGTTGCAACCCCCCTGCATGGTAGGGCCACCTCACACTAAACCATGTCACCCAAGGCTCTGTCCAACCTGGCCTTGAACAGTGCCAGGGATGGAGCATTCACAACTTCCTTGGGCAGCCCATTCCAGTGCCTCACCACCCCCACAGTAAAGAACTTCTTCCTTAGATCCAATCTAAACTTCCCCTGTTTAAGTTTGAACCTGTTAACCCTTGTCCTATCACTACAGCCCCTAATGAATAGTCCACCCCCAGCATCCCTATAGCCCCCTTTCAGATACTGGAAGGCTGCTATGAGGTCTAAGATGTAAGGCATCAGTAACCGGAATGGCCAAGTTGCCTGGCAGGCCCTAGGGAGAAGGACACCATCTCCTTTTCCTGGGAGAAGAGTCATATATCAAACCACAGCGCTTTAAAAAGGTCCTGCAACATGAAAGCCATGGGAATCAAATGGTACAGAGTGAAGAAATAGCTTCTCACATTTTTTGCCTTCTCCTGATTCTGAAAAAGCCTCATAAATGCAACACAGGTAGCATCCAAAAAAGCTTCAGAGACACTCCTCCCCAGGTACGTCTTCACATGTATAAAAGCTCATTAAAGAGGTGCTCACCCTGGTAGGCAAGGGCTAGCCAGTGCCTGCAGATGTCTGCCTGTGTGTTCCTGTGCTGTTAAATCTGGACCCATTGCTTCCTTAATAGATTGTTGCTCCAGAGGCATTTTTCTGCTGTATGTAGATATTCTAGGCATGTGTTGAAAGAAGAAAAAGGATAGTCATGTTTCCTGGAGATACGGATGCCTGTGTAGTGCCAGTAACTAATCCTTTGTAGCAGTGAGTATTTCTGTGTTAGGTTTCTGTTGTATTTCATCTGGATAAGTTTCCAATTTTAAGAATGAGTGATGTTATGATTTAAAGCACCATGTGTCTTTTATTTCTGCTAAAATGAATCTTACAGTAGTTTAAAATCTGATTTTGGTCCCTTTTGAGGTGGAAGCAAGCTGCTGTGAGAACATGAGACAATAGATGAGCCTGTCTCAGATGGGATATCAGTCACTTATTTCACTTGTTATTTGTGTTTCTCACACGTAAGAATGTGTTCTGATATTCACACTGTCTCATAATCATGCTCTAATCTACTAACAAGGAGGTGCTTGTGCCAGACTTTGCCTTATCTCTCTACAGGACTACTATGTAAAGCATTAAGTACCGAGTTACGTTCAGTGTAGCAGTGAAGGGTAGACAGATCTTCAATGCCAATCCTAGGCTACTCTGAATTGGGAAAAGGGGATGTCCAGCTATTCCTAGAAGTACCAATGATATTATGGAGTTCTGTATGGTAAAATAAAGAAAGGAGGGAGGTCTTTAGGTGGATGTTAGATTATATCCACTGGATAGAGCTGAAAAAAATCTCGGATATACTACCTGTCTCTTGATCACCAGCGATCTAATTCTTCTTTTATAATATTATTTGCTTAAAATTAGGTCTTTAGCTTCAGCTAGTAATCTAGACCTTATAATGACATTATCACTAAATTATTTATGCTGAAAGGATTTCTAGAGATAGAATCACAGGATGGTTTGTGTCGGAAGGGACCTTAAAGCTCACGCAGTTCCAACCCCTTCCACAGGCAGGGACCCCTTCCGCTAGAGCAGAGTGCTCCAAGCCCCTGTGTCCAACCTGGCCTTGAACACTGCCAGGGCTGGGGCAGCCACAGCTTCTCTGGGCACCCTGTGCCAGCGCCTCAGCACCCTCACAGGGAAGAGCTTCTGCCTAAGAGCTCAGCTCAGTCTCCCCTCTGGCAGCTACAGGTCCATCAGATCTGTCTCCATTCCCCTTGCTCAGAGTACTGCTGCCTTCAGAGCCCAGTTGGGTTGCTTGCTGTGTCCAACCAACGTAGCCACCACAGAGGAGGTATCTTTGTCTTCAACCATCAGCACTTCAGCTTGCAAGAATTAAACCATTTTAATTAATCACTGTTAAGCTTAATAACTGTATTTTTGCCTTTAGGTTGTGTGCGTGAAGCTTAGATTTCGTGTGGAAATACAAACTTGCAGATGGTTTTGAACTGCAAAATAAGCCATAAAACATGCACACTTTAGAAGGGAGATCCGATTTTAACTAAGTTACAACTCCTTCTCTTTTCCAGATAAACCTCTGCAATGGTTTCCACAATGAATGATAAGACGCAGAGGGGCAACCTATCAACGGGAACTGAATTTGTTCTTGTAGGCCTCTCTGATGCTCCAGAAGTCCGTTTTCTTCTCTTTGTGCTGTTTTTGATCACTTATTTGGCCACCATGGCAGGCAACATCTCAATCCTTGTTGCCATTAACACAAATGCTCATCTGCACAACCCCATGTACTTCTTCCTTGGCAACTTATCCTTACTGGATATCTTATGTCCCACTATCACTGTGCCGAAGATGCTGGAGGCCTTGTTGCTTGAGAACAAGGTGATTTCATTCCATGGCTGCATGTTCCAGCTGTTTTTCCTCATTGATGTCGTAGGCACAGAGATTTTCCTCTTGGCTGTGATGGCATATGACCGGTATGTTGCAATATGCCACCCACTGCAGTACACAAATATCATGAGTACGAAGCTGTGTGCTCACCTAGCCACTGGCATCTGGGTAGCAGGGCTGTTAAACTCCCTGTTGCACACATCTTTGATTTTTACACTCTCATTTTGCGATTCTAATCAGGTTGACCAATATTACTGTGATATCCCTCCCATGCTGGCCCTCTCCTGCTCATCTACTTACAGTAGGGAACTGGTAATTCTCACAGTTGCTGGAGCCATTGGGGGCAGCGCCTTTGTGGTCACTCTGGTCTCGTATATCTACATCCTTTGGGCTATCCTATGCATGAACTCTTCTGAGAGCAGGCACAAAGCCTTCTGCACCTGTGGGTCTCACTTGACAGCAGTATGCCTCTTCTATGGGACCACCATTTTCACATATGCACGGCCCTCCTCCACCTACTTGCCTAATCAGGACAGGATAGTTTCCATGCTCTATGGAATCCTCACTCCCCTGCTAAACCCCATCATCTACAGTCTGAGGAACAAAGAAATTAAATGTGCCCTGAGAAGAATGATCACCCAGGTAAGAACTACTTTAACAAGACAAGAGCATCACTCTCGGTCTCTGACACACTGTGGAGCTCAACCAGCTGTATAGGAACTGCAGTTTGTGACTGGTCTTCTCTAACTTTAGCCAACTAAAAGTTAGGTGCTGGAATCAAAGCTCCTTCTCCGGGTTCCCTTCAGAGTTAAAAGGGAAGAGTTGTGCACCTCCAGGAGACCAGTTGGATGGCACAGTTTTTGGTCACTATCACAGGAGGAGATGACTTCTGCTGGTAATGTTATTCTCCACTGAACACTGAGGAAGGTTAGATGAGAGCCTCAGCCTTAGACACAGGTGATGGATGCATATCTTAGTGGGAATGCTGGGAACTGATCCTGTAGGCACACCTATATACATTCTTCTGTACTAAAGCAGCCTGGAGGACTGGTACCTCTTACTGACTTCATTGCTCCTGCAGAAAACATAAGCACATCCTCTGTGGGAGGCTGAATGGAAGGAAGGCTCCTTTCCCATCATTTAAGGTCATCAGTCTGGGTGTGTTCTCAGCCAGCATGCCAAGAATCCAACTGCAACACCAAGCACAACCTGGCCATAGTTTGCACCATGCATCTCAAAATCAGTCTGCCAGGGTGTGAATCAATTCCCACAGTCATAGAATCAACCAGGTTGGAAAAAGACCTTGAAGGTAATCAAGTCCAACTGTTCCCCAACACTGCAGGTCCACCACTAACCCATGTCACTAAGGGCCTCATCTGCATGCTTTGTGAACGCTTCCAGAAATGGTGATTCCACCAGTGCCCTGGGCATCCTGTTCTAATACCTGAACTAGAGATGTCAGTTGTGCTCATGTGCCCGTATATTAGACAGCTTTAACACTCCTCTTATAGCCAGTGAGGGGAAAACAGAGGCTTTGTATTCTTGGGCTTTGTGAGCACTGCTCTGGCTTTTCCCAGTGTTGGCAGACTGAAGGAAGGTTTACAGAGCATGCCTTAGGTCTGTGTGAATCTGTAAATAAAAACAGTGCTTCACACCAGGCAAAAGTGAAGGCATGGCTGACAAAGGTGGAAACGGATGTGCAGAGAGGTGGGGTGCTGCGCAGTCCCTGTGTGTTTTGGCTATAAATCTGTGTATCTCTTAGCTACGAGGCTTTATGCTGGGATGATAAACTCTTAGAGCTTGAGGTGGGCCCTAGGCTGTGTTAAAGTGCTGTGGTGTGTCGTTCCAGCTGTTGTGCCGGGTGCTAAATCACTGCTGTGACTTTGTTGCATGCACACTACTTACTAAAACAACTTGTCAAGGATGTCTGTCTCAGTGGCCTTTTTTGTGGTTGCTGCCTTGATGTAAAAGATAAGCTAACGGTTTCACTGCAGGAACTTGAATCTTAGTCATAGCAAATACACATTCTTAATATTCAGACAATGGAAATCACTTAAGCTTTATCCATTCTCAGCTGCTGGTCATGTTGACAACGGGTTCAGAAGTCAACTGTAATGACCAAAGAGCTTTCCTCTTGGGTAATACATTCAGGATTTTCTGGGGTTTTCTTTTGGTTTTAAAGCGTATCTCAGCAGCTTAAGAAAATGCATGTAACTCCATCTGAGACCAGCTTCAAAGACAAGCACTAAGAAGTCAGGGCTACCCATGTGGCTGTAACACTATGGAGCTTCCCACATAGTTCAATGCTATAACATATGGTAAAGTTGGGATTTGGTTTTCTAAGCACAAGTTTCAATAGCACACAAGGTCACCCAAAGTATCCTTCCTGGTCCATAGTTCCTGCTCCATAAAACATACAGAGAGAGTAGATGAGAAGACCAGAAGTCATCAATCCCCAACTGAATGAAAAGATGAGAAATGCTCTACTGATAGACAGTGGCTATTGCCCTGTTATCGGGTGACATGATCTAGTGTGAGGCATACCAGCCCATGGCAGGGGGGTTGGAACTGGTTGATCTTAAGGTCCTTTCCAACCCTACCTATTGTATGGTTCTGTTATGAGCAGAGCCCCAGACGTTTTCATGGGGTTTCCTGTGGTTCTTGAACTATGACAGTGGAAACCATTTAAAAAACCCCAACCATTTATCCCAAAGCCGTCTGGCAAATCACAAGATATGCATCCATGTGGACAAAAATGTACACAGAAAGCCCAGCATAGGCTACAACACCATTCTAATTCTGGAGTCAGGTAACTGCTCTTCAGGGGTTAGTTTAAAGCAAATCCCCTGTCCTGTCACTACAGACCCTTGTCTAAAGCCCCTCTCCTGCTTTCTTGTCAGACCCTCTAGGTATTGGTAGGCTTCTGTGAGATCCTTTTGTCCTTTGGTAGGGACTGCCAGACTACTTGCACATTTAATTACTCTCATTTACCAATTCTCAGGTTCTTTGAGACCTGCTTGGACTCGTGACTCTCTGTGCTACTCAGAGAAACACAGGCTTGCTACAGCTCTTTGAAGGGGTGGTTTGACCTCCCTGTTCCTCAGACTGTATGTACATCATAGGATTCAGCGTGGGAATCACCAGAGCATAAATGAAGCAAGGCTTATTGTGCTCCATAGAGAATTGTGAATTGTGTGTACATGAAGCAGCCTGTTCCATAAAACATGGCGGCAGGAATCGGGTGGGAAGCAGAGGTGGAGAAGGCTTTTTGCCTGCCTTGGGACTTAGATCTTGTGAATGGCAAGTGTGATGCAGGTGTCGGAGATGAGAATGAGAATGGTGGCTGAGGTGATGAGCACAGCCGCACAGGTGAAGTGGTCCATGATGTATGCGTTGGAGCAGGACAGCTTCGGGATGCGGGGCACAGCATAGAAATGTTACTACAGCAAGTGGCCCAAGAGACCTACTGTAGGCATCGAGGACCTCAGCCCTGCAGCTGGACACTGGCATCATCTTGTTTGGTTAATGAGCTTGTGTCTGGGCAAACCACTGTGGAGCTGCCCCTGAGAGGCAGCTACAGGCATGCAGAACGCCCTGTGGTCCCCAAAGGTGCCTGGGATGGGGCTGGAGGGAGCTGCTCTCAGGGAAGGCTTGGAGAACAAGTGAAGTTGAGCCAAAGGGCCTGCCCTGCAGGGTGGCAGAAGGAGCTGACCAGGGCAGGGCTGAGAAGGAGCTTTAGGAGCAGCAACCACCTTGCCCAGGTTTCTCCTCTTGGCCCGGTCCTCCTGCTGGGACAGCACAGCTTCCCCTGTGCCCCTGAGCCCACCTTTCCTTTCCCATCGCATCCCCAACACCCCCTGCCCCTCCTGCAGGGGTTAGTCCACTTGCATGGCTCTTTGCAGAACTATCAACATGTTTATTTACAAGAACAGAGGGCTACAGGCACACAGGAGCCCTGGAAGCCTGAGAAGCCTGGCCCTGCCTCTCTTGCACCATGGCAGCTGCATTCAGTGGGAGACCTCTCCAGGGATGAGGACACTTTCCTTTGCTGCTGCTGAATCCTCTCCAGCACCGCACGCAGGGTATTGTTGTTCGATGCTGCTGCAGTGTCCTGGGCATCCTGGGCTGGGCATGGTTGGCAAGAACTCACGTTCCTGGTGACAGGGGAACCGCAGTGCTGCTGCGAGGATGGGCTGTGCTGGCTGGGGATCCCCTCTGGGCAGCAGGGGTTTGGGCTTGGAGCCATCTCGAGTGGTCTTCCCTGTGAGAGGCCGTCAGGAGTCCATCTGCTTTGCCTCTCTGTGCTCCGGCAGGTGCCCTGGGACCATGTCCCACAGCCTAGGGATGGTGCATTCCCTTCCCCGCTGGTGGTACTTTTCAGATGGGCTATCCCACTTGGGAAGCTGCCATCGTCAGGCCTAGCTTGTTTCTTGCAGCAGCCACAATGGGTCTGAGGTACTCCTGGGGCTCGTGCCATGAAGCCTTCATGGGTTGAGCACATGTGTGCTCCCTGTGCCTTCTCTGGCTTGGTGTCCGCAGCAGGAAATACTGGGACTAGGCTTGGGTACTGAGGGTGGATGCTGGCCCTGGCGAGTCCTTCAGAATTCCACAGGGTGTCCTTGGTTCGTCCTTGGTGTCTGTGCCTAACCCATTCCCAGAGCTGCGGGATGTGCTGGCAGGGTCCTGGCCTACAGGAATGCCTGGATGCTCTTGTCCCCTGGAACGGGGCTGCAGGAGGAGACGCAATACAGGCAGGAGCACGGTGTCATGGGGAGCACAGTGCAGGTGAGGGATGCCTGAACCTGCTCCTGCAGGACCCATTCCTTCTGCCTGAGCTGCTTTGCTTTTGCCACATGGGCAGAAGCCTTGGTTGGCAGCAGATGCCCAGCCCCAGCCTGCTTCAATCTGGGCAGTGAGCACAGGTCGTGCCTCAGCAAGGGCTGGCTCCATCCCGGCAGGATGAACTTGGGCAGGACAAGGAGGCAGCCCTGCTGCTGTGCTGCTTGCTCCTGGGACTGCTGCACCAGCACGGGCAGGGCCCCCATCTCCAGGGCTTTCCGAGCCACGTGCATCTTCAGGGCTGAAGAGACTCTGCCAGCACACGTGTGTTCGAGGAAGCAAAGAAACCTCACGTCCATAGAGGCTCTTCCAACTTGATTCAGGTGTGTGGCTGTCAGGTTCTCGGGGCAACTGATGCACTTGGGGTAACTGGGGGAGCTGCAGCAGCTCAGCTGCTCCTTCTCCACCAGCTCCTCCAGGTCCTGCCATAGCGCCTGCCATGTGCCAGCATCCAGAGCGGCTGCAGCTCCTCTCCCAGCCCACGCTGACAGCACCAGCTCCTGCAGCTCCTGCGCAGCCTTGATGCAGTCAGTGCAGCCAGGACTGCAGCGCCGGGGCCCACACAGGGTGGACACAGCGTTACCTGCAACCGAGGGAGCGGTTCCTGAGTGTCGGGGTGCCAGAACCAACCTGGGACCGTACACCCAGCCTGCTCCACATGGGGCTGGGCTCCTCTGGGGGGACCTGCTGGGGACTTACATGGCTCTGCTGCCCAAAATCGCCACCTCCATATCCACCGTTGCTTGCCCTGGCCATCACCCTGTGGGAACAGCAGTGTGGCACAGTCACCTTCTTGGGGACAGCCACCACCAGTGCTGGGACAAAGTGGGCCCCATGGCCACAAGCGACCCCGCGCTACGGCTGATGGCAAGCAGGATGGCCCCAGCAGCCAGGATGAGGATGCTGAGGCCCAGAAGAAAGCTGCTGTTGCTCATGTGCACTGCCCGTGACGAGCACACTGGGAGCTCTGGAACAGTGGCATGGGTTGCTGTGAAGTTAGAGCCTGCTGCTGGGAACAGCCGATTGACTTTGCAGGCCACATTACTCCAGCACTGTGGGCATCCTGCTGCTGCCGCTGCTTCATGAGCCCTAAATATCCTTGTGAAGATACAGGTCTTGAAACTGGAAGGAAATCATGGG